TATATATATATATATATATATATATATATATATATATATATGTATTCAATTGTTGAATTGAATATTATTGTAATATTCAATAAGTTGAATATATTTATAAATATATTACCATGTGTTTACTTGTAGGCTGTGTGTAATTATACATTCGTACATAACACGACAATTTTGATATCTTCTTTTTAATTACTGAATGTGAGTAAGTGTGTATATATATATATGTATTCAATTGTTGAATCGAATATTATTGTAATATTTAATAATTGTTGAATCGAATATTACATTAATTATATTAATTATATACTGTTATACTTATATTTATATTTGTAAATATATTATGTGTTCACTTGTAGGCTGCGTGTAATTATGTATTCGTACATAACACGACAATTTTGATATCTTCTTTTTAATTACTGAATGTGAGTAAGTGTGTATATATATATATATATATATATATATGTATGTATTCAATTGTTGAATTGAATATTATTGTAATATTCAATAAGTTGAATCGAATATTACATTAATTATATTAATTATATACTTATATTTATATTTATAAATATATTACCATGTGTTTACTTGTAGGTTGCTGTGTGTAATTATGTATTCGTACATAACACGAATCTAATTACATGCCCAATTATAAATCAAATTATACATTTACATTACATGTTTATTACGAGTCGTTTAATTATCAATGTAAATATAAAAAATATAAAACTAATAATAAAATATTAGTTTCACTTGTCGAATATATTTCATTCAAAAAATGTAACAAGAAGATCGTTTCGTTCCCAGCGAGATATAATTTTCAATTTTTGACTTGGCAATTAAAAAATGAAGATTGTTTTAAAGGGGCGTGAAGACTGAAGAACAAGATGTGAGATGTGTATAATTTGCAAATCAAGGAAACTCACTAGTGATGAGTTAACGTTGATCTGTTTGGCCATTCGCGAGTTTTATTACCTCCACATTGAGGCGCGTGTGAATAATTGTTGTTTAATCGCTTCGTCGACTACGCGACTCGCCTCGATTTTATTTAATCGTTTCCTCGCGAGAACCTTGTTGCGAACAGTGACACGAGGACAACCTTCGTTGGTTCTTGTTCTTTATTCTTTTTTTCTGGTTTTGTATTCTTTGCTCTATGGTTTATGGCCGTCTTGTTATCAGTGCGGAGAAATTAAATAGTATAAATTTTTATTTTGAAGTCATTTCGAATTACTTTGAAAAATTTTCATTATTGTTTATAGTATGAGAGATTTCCTCATTAATTAAGTATTTTAGTATAATTGTGAACTCACTTCAGTATCAATAACATAACTGCAACTGGATGTTTTTGAATATTTTAACTTTCGTTTAATTTATTTATTATATTACGAGTTATTACAGAAGATATTTTTAATATTTTTTTTCAATAATACTTTAGTTCGTTTATGAATTATTACAGAAACAGATTTTAGTACTTTTTTTTAATAATCTGAGTATATGTTTTTTGAATTTTTCAATTTCTGTCTAATTCATTCGCAATATCTATAAATCTATTTATAAATTATTAGAAACGCAACCTTCAATATTTTATCGATAATATTTAAATTATGATATTTTTAAATACCATAATTTTCATCCATTTTCAATTCAACATTAACTCTCGGATTTATAACATAAAGAAATAAAAAAATAAATAAGTTAAATTAAATTAAATAATAAATACAATTTTCACCGGAAAATAAAATCTAATCTAGGTAATTAAAGAAAGATCGAGTACACCCCCCGCCTCCCAAAAAAAAAGAAATAAATTTTATTTAATTCTTTCTCCTCGAACAATATCAAGGAAATGATCTATGCTTCCATTAGTCATTCATTTTTCATCTCTTTCACCTCGGTTTCAATGGCATTCTTCCGCGACGGGAATGGCTTTGCCACTCTGTTTGGAATGGATTTTTCGGGAATTGATGTCGGCAAGAGAGTGCCTCAAGGGGTTAAGATACCGACGAGTCCTCATTGAATAACTTTCGCAGACTTTGGGCAAATGTATTTGCTACGTACCTGCTCGTACTTTCTTCCTCGGATGATAAATTGCAAATCGGAATCGCCCGGCGATTCAGGCACGTGGGCAAATTGGCCACGAAGCACGACAAGGAACGTGGCCATGGAACACGTGTGTCGCAGACGTTCGACGTCCTATTTATTTAGAAATGGCCCGGGGAATTTTTACAATGGTCACGCGTCGAAAATACAAGACGCAACGCGTGACCTCTGAACGTCGATGTTTTGAACCGTAAAAATGAACCTTCGAACATCACACCTCGTGTTACGCAATTCTTGTCCATTATGCGACTTCATAGGTAATTTACGAGGGCCATCTCGACCTTGTTTGGCAATGTTTGGTCCAGTTGTGACGTGAAATGGCAGAGAAGTCTTCTTAGACAGAGTAGACTATGTCGAGATGACTACGTACAGTGGTCCATGGGAAATGGAATTCGAACGTTTAACACAGAAGGACCTTCGTTATTGTGTTATGTAGAACATTTTGAAGTTTCAACGCCATAACGAGGCGATATTATATACTACTGTCACATGTCACGATTCTATATTATTACATTAAATGTATACTAATTGTATTGCATTACTGTACATCAATATACGATATTGTTATTTAAACAAGTACTGAGATATAATTATATAATATGTATAAATTATAGTTAATATAATTTAAACATGTATATTGAAGTATATTAATTGCAGAAGTGTAAATTGTATACTATTGTATATTTAAATGTGTATGTTGAAATATACTAATATTTATAATACGAATATATAATTATATTAATTATAGATCAATGGTGTAAATTGTATATTATTGTATATGTACTATTATATATTTAAATGTATGTATTGAAATATGTTAATATTGTGTATATAATATAAATAATATATTAATTATATTAACTGTAGATCAATAGTGTAAATTGTATATATATATTACATTATATAAATAATCGTATACATATTTAATTGTAATTCATACTATTACATATACAATCAAATACACTTATATGATTCGAAAGTAATTTGAAAATCAGATTTTGAGGATAT